ATATATATATATATATATATATATATATATATATATATATATATATATATATATATATATTTCTTACATTACTTAATATAAATAAAAAAAATGTGAATGTAAAAAATCAAAATATAATTGAAAACAGTAAAAGAAAAGAAATATCTATCAATAAATAGCGTGGCATGTTCTGATTGGCTTCAAGTTGATAAAAGTCGTGGCCAGTTGTGTACCGAAAAGTTCCATTGTCTTTTCCCCTTTAGGAAAATTAAAAAATGAAAGAAATAAATAAAGTTGATAAACCGTAATTGTCGCTTTTTTTTCCCATAACGCGTAGGAATCAATCTTTAGTACAAGCCACAAGCCAAGGCCAATCATGGAAATCAATCAAATTACTCGATATAAATTCATAAACTATGCAGAAAATACTTGATCTCCGACTACACAAGAAAATTGTTGACAAAGCTCCAAAATAACATTTTCTTTTGATCCAATTTTTTTTTTCTTTATCACCGAAGAAAGACAACAATTTCAGGATATCAAACATTTTCGAGAATTTCTCTTAGATTCGAACCCATACCAGATGATATTTTCTGTTTCCTACCCACACCAATCCATATCCTTGCTTTTTGATCAAAACCTAAATTAGGTTGATAAGTTTTTCAGATCATAACATAACCAGGTTTCTACTTTAACTTAACAAAACTCTCTAAAACTCTCTAATGCTCACTGGTTAAAAAGGTTTAATATTTTTTGTCATGATTCAGCTTCTTACCGTTACATTTATTGAATCATATGAATTCAACAAACTAGTGTACCTGTCCTCCTTTGATTCAATATTATTTCACACTTAACAATGAAAAAAATGAAGTAAAAAAATGAAATAGAGTAGATAGATAAACATGGGGGAGAGAGAGAGAGAGAGAGAGAGAGAGAGAGAGGTGACAGTTGTGAGGAAGGAAAGGGAAGGGACGAGGTAGTGGGGACACAGCTGCAGAGGGCCGGCAAGAACCTGACTTATTTAAACCTTCATCTACATGAAGGCGAAGGAAAGGCTCTCTCTCTCTTTTACACATTCTCCGGTAGAGCCTCTCTCTCTCTCTCTCTCTCTCTCTCTCTCTCTCTGGGGACACTGAAACCAGAGAGAGATTTGAGCTTACATACAATCCTTCATTTCCAGTTCAAAATCAGTGGTGGGGAAGGAAATACAAACACAGAGTAACTCACTCACTCACTCACTCACTCAAGGTAAACTCTCTTTCACTCTCTTTCAAGTTATAAGACACAGATCTCTCTGGACATTATCTCTCTACTGTTCCAAAACCCTTCATTCTATTTCTTCTACAACAGATCTCACCATTAGATTCTGATGTGTCTTCAATTTTTACCTTTTTTTTTTTTTAAAAAAAAACTCACTTCTGGGTGTTTTTCTTTGTTAACATTATCCATTGATGTTGGGGAAGTTACAGATTCTTCTGGGTTTGCTCTGTTTCAGCTAATACTTGGCTGATTTGCTTCATATTCTGAGAAATTCTAGTTCTTTCCAGAAAAAAAAAAAAAAAAAAAAAAATCTTCTTGACATTGGTGAATCAAAGGGAAGCATCTAATTAGCAAAACGGTGGTCGTTGGGTTTCATTTGGTTTTCCATTTTTCCCGTTTTTCTTAGATTCAAGGGATGGGTTTTCCTTTGACTAGGTGTGTGTGTGTGTGTGTTTGGTGGCCCAACACCATGTGTGAAAATTCCAATCTGGAAAGTAGAAATTGTCGGCTGTCGTTGTCGGATGATAATTTTACAGCTGCGTTTCACATACTTCATGTTCATCATTTCACAATTTGATCTCCATATCTTTTGAATTCTTAATTTTTTTTTTCTTTCTCAAATCTGAAGGTTTTATTTCAACCTCAAATTAACTGGATCTGTTGTTTTCTCCATCTTTCCAGATTGTAACTTGTAGGGTAGCTTTTGCTTTCTGTTGAGTTTGTTTGTAGATTCAAAGGATTTGTTCTATAGGCTTTCGTTTATTAGGTTCATCTAGTAGCTTGGAAGTAGAAAATTTTGTTCAAGAAACTGTTAAAAACATTTCAACCTAATCAATTAATGCAAACATTCATATAACTGTGGCCCCTTGGATGTTTTTTTTTTGCAGATTGTTGATAGGGAATCATGAAGTATAAAGATGGGAAGCCAGGATATAACCCAGATAAGAATGCAAGAGTTCTCCCTATGACAATTCTGTTGTTTGTGTTATGTGGGTTCTCATTCTATCTGGGTGGAATCTTTTGTTCTGAGAAAGAGGTAGTCAATGTCAAAACATCCATGGACGTCGGAGACTCGGTTGCATCACCGAGGGATACAGCCATTTCCCCGCTCCAACTTAAACCTGTTACCTTCCAGGCCTGCAGCAGTGATTACCAAGATTACACTCCTTGCACAGATCCAAGGGTATTTTCCATGACTTTCATATCTAAAAGAGTATATCAACCATGTCTAATTTTCACTTGTGAGTGCAGAAATGGAAGAAATATGGTTTGCATCGTCTTACTTTCATGGAACGACATTGCCCGCCTGTGTTCGAAAGAAAGGAATGCTTAATTCCACCACCAGATGGGTATAAACCACCAGTTAGATGGCCAAAAAGCAAAGATGAGTGCTGGTACAGGTAATAATATGTTTCAAACTTCCATATATAGGTTTCAAATTTCCATCTCTTCCAAGTTTCACTAACTTTATGTTGGCTGGAGTTTAGGAACGTGCCATATGATTGGATCAATAAACAGAAGTCTAATCAAAATTGGCTGAGGAAAGAAGGTGAAAAGTTCCACTTTCCTGGTGGGGGAACTATGTTTCCTCATGGTGTTAGCGCGTATGTCGATCTGATGACAGATCTTATCCCGGAAATGAAGGATGGAACGGTTCGAACAGCCATTGATACTGGGTGTGGGGTGAGTACTTTCTACAACTAACTATGTTATATATATCAATGAGGAATGAAAAAGTTCTGATCAGCTTGATGAATAACATTCTAGGTTGCAAGCTGGGGAGGAGATTTGTTAGACCGTGGAATTTTAACAGTTTCTCTTGCACCAAGAGATAACCATGAAGCTCAAGTCCAATTTGCATTGGAACGTGGAATTCCAGCGATTCTTGGCATCATTTCGACACAACGACTACCTTTCCCATCGAGCTCCTTTGATATGGCTCATTGCTCAAGATGCCTTATCCCATGGACTGAATTTGGTAAATATCTATTTTACCACTAAACTACATTGAGTTATTGAGTTGGCTAAAATTTCTGATTAACATTCTTGGTTTTTAGGTGGAATATACTTGCTAGAAATCAATCGAATCCTTCGTCCTGGAGGATTCTGGGTTCTATCTGGGCCCCCTGTCAACTACGAAAACCGTTGGCGAGGATGGAATACGACAGTGGAAGAACAAAGATCAGACTATGAAAAATTACAGGAACTCCTAACTTCAATGTGCTTCACCCTTTACAACAAAAAGGATGATATTGCTGTTTGGCAGAAATCTTCTGATCCTAATTGCTTTAGCAAGATAGCAGCTGATGCTTTCCCTCCTAAGTGTGATGACAGCCTTGAACCAGATTCAGCATGGTACAGTCCATTGCGCACTTGTGTCGTTGCTCCCAACCCGAAACTGAAGAGGACAAGTTTGATGGCTGTCCCTAAATGGCCAGATCGTTTGCACACCTCACCGGAACGTGTTTCAGATGTTTATGGTGGAAGTTCTGGCACTTTCAAGCATGATGACAGTAAATGGAAGGTCCGAGCAAAACATTACAAGAAATTGCTTCCTGCAATTGGGACTGATAAGATCAGGAATGTTATGGATATGAATACAGTTTATGGAGGTTTTGCTGCAGCCATTATTGATGATCCCTTGTGGGTTATGAATGTGGTTTCTTCCTACGCTGCTAATACTCTTCCTGTGGTCTATGATCGTGGCCTTATTGGAACTTACCATGACTGGTAAAATAAATGAACTGTTCCTTCTTTTCCTTCATTACTTTTCGGTTGGTCTTCAATACTCACAGATGAAAAACTTATGGTTAACTAGCAATGGCTAATTTGGCAGGTGTGAAGCATTTTCAACGTATCCTAGAACGTATGATTTGCTCCATCTTGATGGTCTTTTTGCTGCAGAAAGCCATAGGTAAAAAGATAATGCAGTTTGAAAGTCTTTTTTTGGTAAAAGGATGATTGGGAAGGTAGTATGAGTTTCTCACTAATATTGCATTCCTTGCAGATGTGAGATGAAGTATGTGCTTTTGGAGATGGATCGAATCCTTCGTCCTAACGGGTATGCGATAATCCGAGAGTCAAGCTACTATGTAGATGCAGTAGCCTCAATAGCCAAACAGATGAGATGGGGATGTCGTAAAGAAGAAACTGAATACAGTACTGAAAAGGAGAAGGTATTGATTTGTCAGAAGAAACTTTGGTATTCTTCTGGTGGGAAATCAAGATGACAGACGGAGAAACAGAAGCTGGGCCAAATCCAGGTACTTATACTTTCAGAATAAAAGAGAAGCAAGTAATAGAAGCACAAAGAGATTAAGAAGCAAGTAATAGAAGGACAAAGAGATTAGTTTATTTATACTTGGGAGGAAACTGTGATACTTCTCCTCGAAGAATCGGGTGTCAAATAATGTGGTTATTATTTATTTTTACAGGGCCTCTTTCATATAGATATATTCTTTTGTAAGGGAGCAAATTGTATGTCAATTTTCAACTTTTCTTCTGTATCTTTTTATGTTCAATACTACATTTGTCGTCTGCATTGAAGTTATTGATGGGTTGTTGAGATATTAAAATATGGGCTAGAAAGGTTCAAGCCACAAGTCCCATTCTTGTGATCTGTCCTTTGATTTTTGTTTTGTTTTTTATTTTGTCCCCCTGAAGAGCAACAAAGAACAAAACAGATTCAATACGAACCTAAAAATTTCAAACCTAACCAACAAAATAAATCTAAGATAGTAGGATCATCAATTATCAATTTTCATTTAGTGCATGTTCTTATTTTGTGATGTTACGGTTCAAAACATGATGTACTTATGTAAAGATTAATACCAGTTGATAGTGAGGTTAGGTGGACGGGATCCCAAAACGGCTACGAAGAGCATCAATTGATCTCTCAAAGGACTGCGAAAGCTCGGTCATGGATGTTTTGCAAGCTGCTAATGAGAAAGTGTTACAATCAAGGTTTCATATTTCATATAACAGTTTCAAAACTGAATAATGAAAATATGTAAATCACAACTTAGTGTCATTATGGATCTATGATTATTAAATTGAAAGCATTCTTTAAATATGTTGGTTAGTGCTTATGAATATTCTAGGAAAGGATTGCTTAAAAAAATTTGATTTTTTTTTTTCCATTGTTCCAACTTTCAGATCTAAGTAGTAGTTGACAAGTGTTCTTAAATATAAAACAATATGTATCGTTTCATGTAAATATTCTAAAATAAACTCTCAAACTGTACTAAAGAAAAGGTTGTCCTGGTAACAAAGCAAACATCGAATCATAAAAAGCCACCCCGAACCGTAAAATTTGCAAATTTCAGAAGAACATCTATATTGATTGATATTATCTTGGAGTGATTCGTAGTTAAAAATTATCATTGCAAGATTGACATACCTCGAGATGCACTCTCGTGTTCATGTGCCAAGAACTCTTCATAAGATGCCTAATAGTAGACAATGAAACAGAGTAAGCTTTTTGGCACAAAAAATAATGATCATGGAAACATTTTTGCAAGTTGTATTTTTCATTAACACACCTTCATTGCTTCCTGACTTTCATAAATTCTTTGAGACATCTTCTTATACTCCTTCTCTGCTTCATCCATCATTTTCTGGCATGCTTGGCTTTGAATCTGTTAAATTAATCGACATGACAATCCAAGATCACTCTTCCCGTTACAAATCGAGAATCATAAAGGAATCAGTAAAATGCTTCTGACCAAAAATTTTCAGTAATAGCGATTAAGCACATAAATCTTATATCCTAGCTCGTCTCAACAAAGTTAATCAGTACACATAGAGATCTATAATACTTTTATTGAAGATCGAACGGAACTCTCTATGTCGACCTACTTAATATCGATAATTTAAGCTTTTAGTGTTCCACGTGTGTGCTCTGAATTTCAGTAAAATCATACAAATTATCTGTTCAATTGACACATCTTCGAGGCCGAAATTTCACTAGTGCAGACTTTTAGTTTTTCATTTGAACTTTCAGTTTTCAACTATACTCGTGCATAAAAGCTTAAAAACATGGTAAAGAACGCACTAAAGAGATCTTGGTTTATACAACAGCAGTGTAGCGTGTTTAGTACGAAAACAGAGAACTATAGTGTTCTCTCCTGTCTTCAACTTTCACAACTTCCCGATGGAACATTCGGTGTCGAAACGGTGTATGCAAATTTCCAGTAATTTTTAAATTAATTGCAGAAGGATTTAACTAAAACAACTGCCTCTGATCTAGATCATGTTCTTGGAACGCAGAAAAATTTTGAGTTATGGATACTAGTAAACGGAAATCGCAGAGAAAAAGAAAAGGAGAAAAAAAAAAAAAAGTAGATGCAGAAGCACGCATTTATCGTCAAAATCATAAAAAAGAGAGATGGATACCTTAAATCGCTTTTCGAGGCGGGAGGTTGAGGATTCATGATCTTTGATTATTTGCGAGTGAGAATGATCAATGTGGCGCTTGAGATCGAGGAGTTGTGAAGCCGCAAAATCCTTGAGATCAGATATAGTGCTCAGACTCGAAGCATTTCGAGAAGGCGACTTGAAGAGACCAGCGGGAGCTCTGTTCTTCACAATGTTGGTGTTCTCTGGTGAAGAAAACTTATTTCCATTGCTGTTAATTTTTCTGTTGAAGATCGCTGACTTTGGAGAATCGGTGGCCGGAGGTGGCGTTGACGGTGGCGTTTCCAGAAGCTCCGCTGCTGAAGACCGGCGAGTTCGACTCCTCTTCTTCCCCATCTTTTTCGCTTAAAATCGTTAATGGCTAATTTTACGGGAATATTTGTGCCCAAATCGTTGCATCTCCCTCCTTTTCTTTATTTATTAATTTATTATTTTTAGTACCGTTTTCTTTACTATTATTTTTTTTCTTCAAATTACTAATGTATAATGACTAGATATTATGTATTAATATTGGTAACACTTGAAGTTAAACATGTTATTTCTCGAGCATCAAATTGTATATTATAGAGTTCGAGTCATCAAAACCTAAATATTTTTCCATTACTCGTGTGGGGTCAAGTAAGACATGTCTTCAGTTCCATGACTAGCACTTTTGCTCGTGATCGTCTCACGCATACTAGACACATCACTAGTATCCAAATTTGTGGTCGTATCATGCACATAAGACACGTCATTAGTATCTTGAACGGTAGTCATACTAGGCTTGCTGACATGATTACTACACTCATCAATAGTCATATTCAAATCACATGTCATGGTATCTTGATGAATGATCATTTGAGACAAGGTGCCTCGATCAAAGCTAAGGTCATGCATGGTGTTCGGATCAAACCTCAAGCTAGACATAGTGTCTTGATCAAATATCGAGCTAGACATGGTGTTTGAAGTCCGGACATGTTAGGTGCATTATCTTGAGTTACTGTTTCACATATTTTGGTCCTAATACCTAGCCATGAGTTCCATAGCCTTCTTGAGTTGACTAGGTATCTTGTAGTGACGGATAGGGTGCAACCTCTATTCGTGCCCTAACCAACCGAGTTTAGGGTCTATTGTTAGACATGCGTTAGTTGTCACCCATAGAGGATCTCAAGAGATATAGAAGGTATATTACTGAAGTACTATCAGTGGTGCCTAATGGGGTAGTGACAGGTAGTTTTTATTGCTTGAGCGGGCGTAGTGACATGTCCTTTTGTTATAATAGTCTAAAAAGGCAAAGTAATAAAAAGTCAGTTTAAGACAGGTAGTTTTACTGTTTTAACCCGATGAGGGTACATGGGTAGAAAGTTTACTATTCTAGTCGAAAAAGATATAGTGACAGGTAGTTTACTGATTTTAGAAACAAGTAGATGTTGCTCGGTATTAGGGAGAATCTTCTGATTAGAGCTCAATAGATAGATGTGTATGAAGTACGATCACCGTTTAGAGAAAAAAAGGTTCATTTAGACTTATAAATATTACCCTAAAGCTTTCATGGGTCTCAGCACTTGAGGCGCACTTTATGTAAGACGGCCAAGGTTTCATAATTGATACAAAATACGAAAAGTATGAGACAATATCTAACGATTATATTAACCGATTTTATTTAAAACTAAAAATAAATGTATTTTTTATAACCATTTTGAAAGTTTACAATTTTAAATTATATTTTTTTATCTAACACATTTTTATTAATATAACCTAATTTGTTGGTTAATTTTAACCATTAATAAAAACGTCAATACAAAATATTCTTTTTAATATTTTATAATAATAATTATTTTTTAAATTTTAAAATATTTTAATCAAATTTCTATTACAAAATATAAAAAAAATCTCAGAATATTCTTTTTGATATTTTTACAATTATTATTATTTTATGTTTTAAAATATTTTAATCAAATTTCTATTAGATAAAATAACCACAAAATATTCTTTTTGATATTTTACGATTACAATCAAATAACTACCACATATTTTTTTTTTTGATATTTTATAATTATTATTTTATGTTTTAAAATATTTTAATTATTACAATCAAATTGTGATATTTTACTATTATATTTTTAGGTTTTAAAATATTTTAATAGATTTTTATTACAATCAAATAACTATATATATATATATATTTGTTATTTTGCAATTATCTTTTTACTTTTTAAAATATTTTATATTTCTATTATATTCAAATAACCATAATTTTTTTTTTATATATATATTACAATTATCTTTTTTACGTTTTAAAATATTTTAATCAGAATTTTATTCCTATAAAATAACTACATACAAACCTATAAAAGCTCGTTCCAAGAATATCAAGAAATACATTTACGAGAAATACATTCACAGAGTGTTTCTCAAATACTAATGGATTCTCATGATTGCCCTCTCTTGCCCGTGGGAGTGAGATTCAAGCCTACTGATCCGCAACTTCTTCAATATCTACACTGGAAAATTCATGGCCAACCATATTTCAAACGTGCAGTCTTGGACTGTGATCTTTATGGAGAAATGGAGCCATGGGAAATCTGGCTACGGTTCGGAGGCATCGACGGCGAACATCTCTATTTCTTCACCAAACTCAAGAGGTTCACCAATAACTCTGGACGTTTGTCGGCGCATATCAACCGCAAGGTTGGCTTGGCCAACGGTACATGGAGTGGCGAGAACTCGGGCAGTCCAATTTTTGCTACCAAAACCGATAATACAATAATCGGCTATTGCAAACGCTTTAGGTTCGTTTTGTCATTTTGATTTCAATTTTTGATAGATTCTTTAACCTTATGTTTGTGTCCTTTGAACATTTTAGGTACGAGAATGTCCAATTGCCCGAGCGTCATGGCGAATGGATTATGCATGAATATAGCTTGCATCAAGATTCGATATAACAAGCTGTAGATTCAGATTATGTTTTATGCCGATTCAAAAAGAATGAAAGACTTAAAAGAAAATTACAAAAAGATCTCGAGGAGCAGCAACATAGCAAGAGAAGAATGACCACCTGAATTCTTTCATAGTGGAAGTCGTGCAATAAGAGACGATCAAAGACGTGATTCTACACTACAACCGACTTTAGTAACAGTTAAGATGATCCAATCAATTTTAGAAGGTTTAATATTTGAATTTCATTAGATTTTAGTTATTTAGGTAACTTTGCACACATTCAATATTCTCTCGGGAGTGTACATGTTCCGTGTTGGGTCGAGGGATTTTTTTTTACCCAACCAGAAAATTTTCAACCCAATTCAATCCAATCCTCCATTTTCGGGTTGGGTTCGGGTTGGATTGCGTTAAAAAAAATATTTTTTTTAAAAAAGTTTTATTTATCCACAATTATGGAAGATAATTGAAAGTTCAAAAATCAATCTATAATTATTCACAAAAAAAAAAAATGGAAACGAAAATGATAACATATTAACATAGTTTAATATGGTTATAAAACTAAAAACAATTTAAATATCGACATTTGTCGAGAATTCGGTAAAGTAAGAAAAAATATAAGGATAGATCATCAAATTAAAAAACAATAAAAATGATTAATTTAAACATACTATATAGAAATATTTTTATTGAAATAGAAATAAACTTATCTATATGCGACGATGAAGTTAGAGGAACCTAAACTATATAAAAATAAAAGAAATATATAGATTTTGAAAAACTGATCCAAATTAAATAATAACAAAAATGAGATGCATTTGATAGGACGGAGAAATTGACAAACCTACCATTGCAGTTAACTTCTTAATATATTATATATATTTTTATTTGGCTCGAGTCAACCCGAGGGTTTTATCCCATGAACTCGAAACTGAACCGAGTCAGTTCTTCTTAATATATTTTATATATTTTTATTTAGCTCGGGTCAACCCGAGAGTTTAATCCCTGAACCTGAAACTGAACCGAGTCAATTCGGGTTAAATAAAAATGAACCCAACCCAACTCTAAATTGAGTTGGGTCGGTACAGATTGTCAAGTTGAATGCACCCTAATCTCCTACGACATGGTCACCTTACTTACTCCTTGCTTCTAAGAGTGAAGACTATCCTCACGTAACGTCTCATGCCCAGGAATTAGAGCAGGATTCGAAATCCGAATTCGACACCAAATAACCTTGACATTCCATTGCATCTCCTACGACATAGTCACGTTACTTACTCCTTACTTTTAAAAGTGAAGACTATCCCCACGTGACGCCCCCATGCCCAAGAAATGGAGCAGGATTCGAAATCCGAATTCGGCACCTGATAGTCTCAAGATTCCACTGCATCTCATATTAAAAAAAAAAAATGCACAAGTTCATTGTCAAAATTATAAATTGAAATCTTGATCGATGGTCATGTTAGACATAATGTCTTGTCCGATGGTCGATCGAGGCGCCGTTATTCTTTTCTTGCTATGTTGCTGCAGCTCAAGATTTTTAGGTAATTTTCTTTTAAGTCTTCCATGCTTGCTAAGTCGACATAAAACGTAATCCGAGTCTACAACTTGGTGTATCGAATCTTGGTGCAAGCTATACTCATGCATAAACCATTCGCCATGATGTTGGGGCAATTGGATATTCTCGTACCTAAAGTGTTCCAAGAACACGGTTAAAGATTCTAATGAAAATTGAAATCAAAACAATAGAACGAACCTGAAGCACTTGCAATAGCCGATTATTTGTTTATCGGTTTTGGTAGCAAAAATTGGACTGCCCGAGTTCTCGCCACTCCATGTACCGTTGGCCAAGCCAACCTTGCGGTTGATATGCGCCGACAAACGTCCAGAGTTATTGGTGGACCTCTTGAGTTTGGTGAAGAAATAGAGATGTTCGCCGGCGATGCCTCCGAACCGTAGCCAGATTTCCCATGGCTCCATTTCTCCATAAAGATCACCGTCCAAGACTGCACCTTTGAAATACGGGAGGCCGTGAATCTTGAAGTTTAGATACCGAAGAAGCTGCGGATCAGTGGGTCTAAATCTCACGCCCACCGGCAGAAGAGAGTGATTCCGAGAATCCATTAAAATTTGAGAAAGATTGGATGAATGCGTTTCTTGACTTTCCTCCAATTCTGGGCCACTATTATAATTAAGCAAACCTTTTGGCCCTCCTTCCGCAATTTAATAAAATATGGGTGCGCTTTCATAATTTGAGGAATTTTAAGACAATAAATAAAATATTTAAAGAAAAAAGAGTGTGAACGGTTGGACTATTATCACTTGACGAGCATGACGAGTAGGTTGTATGCGTTTATTATGCATGATTTGAGGTTTGGATAGCGCTCGTTATTGCCCATTTATGAGTTGCACTATTCCATAGAATGCTAGGTGTGGTATCCATAGACTATGAGTTACTGTTTCACACGTATTTTGGTCTTAATACCTAGTCATGAGTTTCACAGCCTTCTTGAGTTGACCAGGATAGGGCGCAATCTCTATTCGTGCACTAACCAACCGGGTTTAGGGTCTATTGTTAGATATGTCATAGTTGTCACTCAAAGAGGATTTCAAGAGTCATAGAGGGTACACTACTAAAGTACTATCGGTGGTGCCTAGTGGGGTAGTGACGGGTAGTTTTACGGTTATAGCTTGAGTGGCATAGTGACATGTAGTTTATTGTAGTTACTCTAAGATGGGTAGTTTTACTGATTTAACCCGATAAGGGTACATGAGAAGATAGTTTACTATTATTATAGTATGGAAAGATAAAGTGACAGGTAGTTTATTGATCTTATAAGCACGTACATGTTGCTAGGTACCATTTGGGAGAATCCACTTATTAGAGCTCAGTAAGTAGATATGTATGGAGTACGATCACCATTTAAAGCAAAAAGAACTCCTCTAGACTTATGAGTATTATCCTATGGCCTTTCCATGGGTCTCGACACTCGAGGCGCACTTTATGCAAGATTGACGAATGAACTAGACATACGTGGAACCTAAAGCCAAGAGAAAACAAAAAAAAAATCTCTAAATCTTGAACATTAAGCTTTGGCACATAAGGAACTCAAGAAGTTTTTTAAGGCAAAGAAGGATCCTCTGTAACGACCCAAAATTTTCTAGTTGATTTAAAGTCGCTACGGTATACATATCATAAACATTGAATTCAGAAATACTCTATTTAAATTCCATAAAACATGACTTTTATCTTAAAACACAGTCATGGAGTTAACGTGTTTCGAAAACATCTTTAAAACTACACAACAAAAGACTGAATAAAATAAGTAAACGTTTAAATTAAAAACATCTCATTCTAGTCCAAGTATAAGAAAATAAATATCACTACCCTATGCATGTGTTATGGTCTCGAGTTGTGATGTCGTCGTCAGTCGTACATGAATGTTTTGCCTTAACCTGAAAAATGTAGTAGCATATAACTTGAGTATTTAAAGAAATACTGAGTAAGTGACCTCACTATTTGGATTTCTATTATTATTAAAATATTTTTAGGTTTTTATTACAATCAAATAACAATATATATATATATATATATATATATATATATATATATATATATATATATATATATATTTGTTATTTTGCAATTATCTTTTTACTTTTTAAAATATTTTATATTTCTATTATATTCAAATAACCATAATTTTTTTTTTATATATATTACAATTATCTTTTTTTAGGTTTTAAAATATTTTAATGGAATTTTTATTACCATCAAATAACCACGTACAAACCTATAAAAACTCATTCGAAGAATATCAAGAAATACATTCACCCGAAATACATTCACAGAGTCTTTCTCAAATACTAATGGATTCTCATGATTGCCCTCTCTTGCCCGTGGGAGTGAGATTCAAGCCTACTGATCCGCAACTTCTTCAATATCTACACTGGAAAATTCATGGCTAACCATATTTCAAACGTGCAGTCTTGGACTGTGATCTTTATGGAGAAATGGAGCCATGGGAAATCTGGCTACGGTTCGGAGGCATCGACGGCGAATATCTCTATTTCTTCACAAAACTCAAGAGGTCCACCAATAACTCTGGACGTTTGTCGGCGCATATCAACCGCAAGGTTGGCTTGGCCAACGGTACATGGAGTGGCGAGAACTCGGGCAGTCCAATTTTTGCTACCAAAACCGATAATACAATAATCGGCTATTGCAAACGCTTTAGGTTCGTTTTGTCATTTTGATTTCAATTTTTGATAGATTCTTTAACCTTATGTTCGTGTCCTTTGAACATTTTAGGTACGAGAATGTCCAATTGCCCGAGCGTCATGGCGAATGGATTATGCATGAATATAGCTTGCATCAAGATTCGATACAACAAGCTGTAGATTCAGATTATGTTTTATGCCGATTCAAAAAGAATGAAAGACTTAAAAGAAAATTACAAAAAGATCTCGAGGAGCAGCAACATAGCAAGAGAAGAATGACCACCTGAATTCTTTCATAGTGGAAGTCGTGCAATAAGAGACTATCAAAGACGTGATTCTACACTACAACGAACACTTCAGATGATCCAACCGATTTTAGAATATTAAATATTTGAATTTTTATTAGATTTTAGTTATTTATGTAATATTTGATAATATATTGTTTCAATTTTAATAAATTTACGCGTAAATTTAGGCGTATTCCACGTATTATCATATTGAATAACTATTTTTTTAAAATTTTTTTTTAGGGAATTACATTTTATATATTAAAAAAATAAAAAAATATTTTCCATTAGTCCAACTCTGTCGTGGAAATCAACCCAAGAAAGGATGGAACTAACAAGATAAAAGTAAAGAAAACTAGTGATTCGAATCACTCACAAGAGATTTGATCAATACCACTTGAATGACTCGTTCTAAACACAAGAACTTGCAAATAAAAACTTAGCTCTCAAAGCTAAAATATAAATTCTATTCTTAATTCCAAAATCTGATGTCTAATAAA